AAGAAAAAATTATCTGGGCCGGGGGAGCTACTTGGGAGGCTGATGTGGGAGGATCTCTTGAGGACAGGAGGATGAGGCTGCACTGAGCTATGAAGACTCTGCTGCACTCCAGCCTGAGTGACAGAGCAAAACCGTCTCTTAAAAAATAATAATAAAGATGGATTTTTGTTAAGTTTCACTTATACGATTCCACTTCGGGTGGAACTGTGGCTCCCTCCTAACCCTCAACACAATTACTTAATGCCACATCTTAAGGAAGTGTGGTCTGGTTACCTGGCATAGAAACAGGCCCTGCTGGTAATGAAAGAGTTGCCATAAAGTTGATTACTTTAAAGATAGGAATTTGCTAAATCCAGTAAATCGATGAGGAAGCAGCAGAAGAAAAATGTTCAAAAGCAACTAGAAATTATTGTTATTAGTAGCTACTCTATTGAATGTTTTCAAATAATTGCTGTTGTATCATTTTTATACTGTTTTGAAATCTCTTCCCTGTAGATCTAAACACTGTGTTAAAAAATTAAAAGGAAAGAATTCAGTATAGGTGTGGAACTTGTTTCTGATTTAAAGCAGTGATGGTAAATCTCTGTTATGAACACTCACCAAAGATTTGGGAAATGGAAAATACTACTAAAAGGTTGAATTCATACCTCATCATGAAATCTTTTGCATGCCAGGTCTCTTTGCTGACCCAGAAGTTGAAGGAACACTGCAAAGTTGATTATCAAATTAAAACATTTTCTGGGCAAACTCATGGGTTCGTGCATAGAAAGAGAGAAGATTGTTCACCTGCCGACAAGCCCTACATTGATGAGGCACGAAGGAATTTACTCGAGTGGCTGAACAAGTACATTTAGTTGTAATCAAGTGCAAACTTTCCCAAAATAGCTTTTATCCAGAAAACTGCTTTCAAATACTTACATCATTTAATTTTCACTTTATGTAAAATAAATTTAGAAATCCTGAAATTCATTATTTTGTCTGAAACTCAAGTTCAGTAGGAATGTTAATGTATGAAATAATTGAATTTTTAAATGGTGCACATCAAATAAAAATTTGAAAACTAGGTCAATACCTGGAGAGCTTGAATGCTAAAGTAGTACCCTAATTATAATAAAAACCTAGGACTATTCAAGAACCTGGTGACAAGTCAACTGTGGCCTCTGGTCTTTAATGAACACATCCTTTAAAACGCCTCAAAGCGCTGCATACATGAACTATATTGAAGTGGACTAATTGCCCAACTTAACTAGACATTTATCTTTGTCTTAAGAGAGCAGCGTTTGTCACATTGGTATATTGCAACAGGAGAGGTATTGAGATTAGAGTTCCATTGACCTAATTATATCAAGCTAATAACCC